TTACACTGCTGAATTGTACACTTAAAAATGGCTAAGATGGTAAATTTTATATTACATGCGTTTTGCCAAAGTTTTTTAAAAAATAGAATACAGCAGTGCCAGGGGCAGATCTGTGCAGTGACAAGGTTTACTAAGTCCTGGCCAGATCAGAGCAGGCCCTTGAGGACCGCCACAAACAGCCTCGCACACCCATCCACACACCCCACTTCCAGCCCACCAAGCATCCCCTGGGACGCACAGCAAATGCAGAAGGCAGGAAGGACAGGCCTTATTCTGCCTACTGAGGAAACAGAAAGGCAAAGGGACATGCTCAGGCCGCTCTTGGTAAAGGGCAGCACCCAGCCCGTGGCCTCATTCTTCAGACTGCAAGGCCAGCACTCTCCCTGCCGCCTTAGGTCCTGTTGAAAGCCCAGATTCTCAAGCGGAGCCATCTGGCTTTGGATTCTAGCTCTGCCACTTACAGCTGTGGGGCCCCGGGCAAGTTACCCAGCTTCTATATGCCTCCTGCCAAACGGGGATAATAGCATGTCATGGGGTCATTGTATTCTTACTACATATGGAGTACTCAAAACAGCCTGGCATGTGGGAAGCACTCTGCCAGCGTTAGCTATTATAGTGTCTCAAGAGTTGGTTTCTGTTTTTTCCCTGAAGATCTTTAAGGGACAAAGCCACTCCCAGCAGTTTAAAGACACTGAAATTGACCTCTTAAGGGATTGCTGGCTCTGGGATCCCACACAACGTTGTGCCAAAGCTTTGAAAGCCCAGGACAAGGATGGGTCTGGGTGCCAGGTTCTTATCGGCTCTCTCCTCAACCTCCCACCCTTGGCCTTGGTGCCCCCAGGAGCTGAGCTAGGACCATAAACCCCAGGAGGCAGTGTGGAGTTTGGCCCATCAGTGGCCCATACCATGGGCTCTGCTCATCATAGCTGAGCTGACAACAACCATGGACACAGCACTCGCAGTGCGCTGAGGAGGACCCTGAGGACCACACAGACAGTGAGATGCAGGCACGTCTCTGCAGACCCCTGACAGCAGCAGAGCTGAGCCCGGGTCAACCTGAGTCAGTGATCCAGGGTAACCCTTGGCAGCAGGCAAAGCTAACCGCCACACAAGACTCGCTCAGTCTGGAGAGGACCCAACAAGGTCACAGTGGCAGTCCTTCCCACCCACAGTTCCAGGAGCTAGGCCGCTTTTCTGGCTAAGTCATGTAGATGGTATCTCTGGGCAGAGTGGCAGGAACAGGACTTCTCTGCAGATGAGACAAAGATTGCTACTCCAGGAAGGGAGAGTCAAGTTCTGAGAGCAGGGTCGTCTAGACCTCGGGGGCCCAAGTGCCTCTCCACCACTGACCAGGATGACCATACCCAGATGTCCCTTACCCTCACTGCCGGAGCTGTGCATCTCCCTGCAGGGGCCAGTAAAGGTCGGGGTACCCATCGCAGTGGAGGCCAGCCCTCGCTGCTGGGGAACTTAGAGGAGCCGAGTGGGAGAAGGGACTTCCTCTCTTTGCTCTCACCTCGGCCAACTTGAAGCAGCTGAGACCTCTGCTTTTGATGCTGCCAGAGAGAGGGCTGTGATTTGCTTGTCAGGGCCGGGAAACATCACTAAATGTCAGAGTTGGAGGGCTCCAAAGACCTTTTTGTGCCCCAGCCTCCCTGTGAGCAATGAGGAAACCCAGGGCCACAGGAGGGCAGGGGCAAGATGAAGACGGCCAGACTGGCCCCGTTCAAACTCCGGGGGAGCTCAAATCCCAGACACCCCCTCCCCCTGGCCCAGATCCCTACAGGCAGGTGAGCTCGGCCTGGCCCACCTTCCGCTAGCTCTGGGCCTCCTCTGCAAACCAGCTCAACAAGGCAGCGACGGAGAGGCCCCTTCTAGGACAGAGCCCATTCCTGGAGAGGGGGCTGGAGAGGCACCTCTGCAGGAGCGACAGCGCAGCCCCCACCCCCACTCCAGTTTATCAGCAACACCACCTCCTCCCCAGTGCACACCAAATACTCCTCAAGCAGTCAGGGACCCCAGTGCAAGGGCCCCTGACAATTCACCTTGGATGAGGGGAGAGAACAGCGATCAAGGCCCCTGATTCTGCATCCAGACTCTTCTTTTTTTTAATGGTGGTAAAATACACACAACACAAGATTTACCATTTTAACCATTTTACATTTACAGTTCAATAGCATAAAGTACATTCACCATATTGTGCAACCATCACCACCGTCCATCTCCAGAACTTTTTCATCTTCCCAAACTATGACTCCCTATCTTTTAAACAATGACTCTCTATTCCCCCTGCCCCCAGCCCCTTGCATCCACCATCCTACTGTCTACGAATTTGCCTGCTCCAGGTACCTCATACAAGTAGAATCACACAGGATTTGTCTTTCTGCGGGACTGGCTTATTTCACTCAGCGTAATGTCCTCAAGGTTCATCCATGTTGTGGCATGTGTCAGATTTCCTTCCTTTTTAAGGCTGAATAGTATTCCATTGTATGCATATACCATTCATTTATTATCCATTCATCTGTCAATAGACATTCGGGTTACTCCCACCTCTTGGCTATTGTGAAGAATGCTGCTATGAACACAGTATACAAATAACTGTTTGTGCCCTTGTTTTCACTTCTTTGGGGTATATACCCAGAAGTGGGATTGCTGGATATCCAAGACTCTTTCTAGCCTGCAATATCACCTGCAAAGAGCACACTGGGTCAACATCCGAAACCACCAGCAATGGGCTCTGACCATGGCCACTCTTTGTCCCTCCCCTTTCTCCAAACACACCCCTGGGGACATGTGGGAGCCTTCTGGGTCCTACACAAGCCCTCTGAAATCATGTACAAACCGTGCCAGGCAAGGTATCCCCCCCACCGGTCCCTGCTTCCCCCATTCTGGGCCCTGCACTCCTTGAGGGTAAAGGAAGACTGTTGGAGTGCGTGTGCCCTGGGCCCTGCCAGCACTGCAATTCTATGACTCCAAGCAGCAGCTAAAATGTACCTCCCTTGGAGAACCCTGGACAAACGCTGGTGGACAGACTGACAGCAGTGAGAGACATGGAGATGGTGCTGCTGGCTGCAGCCTTGCCCGGCCTGTGTCGCTGGGCTGCTCCCTGTGCCCAGCCTTAGCCTCTAACCTGGACTGTTGGGACCTAGGCCTTGAGTGCAATGCGCTGGGTAAAGCCCTGAACTTGGAGCTCCCCTCTCTGATCGTTCCCTCTTCCCTTCCCCCAATTAGGGCTCTGAGGTAGTCCTGGGGCCCCATTCCTTCCGGATCCAGCTCTGTCTCCACCTCCTGGAGGAGGCTGTTGGCCAAGCCTGGACCAGAGAATGCATACCTTCAAGGTCTGCTCATTCCGGTGCATGAGATAAGCCAAGATGGCAGCACAGCTGCGACTGATGCCCAGGGTGGAAAAGACCAGGATGACAGAGCCAAGCTCAAGGTGAATTTCTGCAAAAGGAAGGAAAGATGGGGAGCCGTGCATGGCCCTCTTCCCTGTGGACCTGAGTTGCTGTAAGACAACTGGCTTCAGCGGGCCTATGGTCCAAGACTGGGCTCAGAACCAGCACACCATGGTCTAGGCAAGTTACATGACATCTCTAGGACACCGCTTCATCACCTGGCAAATGGGGATCTTCAGACCCAGCTGGAAGATCAAGAGAATCACACCAGGGCATTCAGCATGATCACGCAAAGGCCTCTTCTTGGCTCTGCAGTCTTCCAGCCCAGGAAGCTCTGCTACCAGTTGGCCTCCCCAGGTAGGGATGAGAGGATCATCCCACAAGGGCACTTGGGTGCCGACAGAGGCAGCGTAGCAGGGGTGTGAATCCGGCTCTGCCACTCACTGGCTGTGGGCTTGGGCATGTTATTCTAAAACAGTTTCCTCATCTGGAAAATGGGAGAACAGTATACGACCTACCTCACAAGGCTTTGTACTGAGCTTAGCCCAGTGCCAGGCACAGGAATGTTAGCCGTAACCACACCTAACAATGCCCCGGAGGCCGTGAGTCCCGCCCACTTAGGGGTGGGGAGGAAGTCTAATTGGCATCCTAGGATGGTCTGGTAACCCCAAGAACCAAAGATAAGCATACCAAGTGCAGGATCACAGACTCAGAGATGACTAAGGCCAACAGCCTCATAGTACAGATAAGGAAACTGAGGCACAGAGCAGTTAAGGACAGCCCAGAGCCACCCAGTGAGGTGGGCTGGAGTGGGGCCTCTGTACTGCAGGCCTCTGCCATCCCAGGATGGGACACGCGGCATGTCTCTCTCTCAGCTCCTAGTCAAGTGACAGCTGCAACGTCCTTGGGCCAAAACGCCCTTCTCTGGCCCCTCTTGTGGGGGCTCAGGCTGCGGGTTGCGTTGGTGCTGAGCAGGCAGTCATAGGGCGGGGCCTCTAACCTGACTCAAACTCGCTCTCTCCGGGGTCCTGCTCTCCATGGGCAATCCTGAGCCCTGGGAAGGACTGAAAACACCCACTCTCAGTGAGACAAGCGAATGGCAGGCACTGCTGTGCGTGTGGCAGGAGGACAGAGGGGCACTGGGCGCGCTGGGGATCATGGAAGTCAGAGCAGAAGGGTTCTGGACTCTTCCACCCCACCCCGCTGACCAGACAGAAGGCAAAGATGGAGTGAGATTCACCTCCAGGTCCCCAGAGCAGGACTCCATGAACATATGCACCCATGGTGGGCCAACACCCTCATTCCACAACAGGCCAAGATGCACAGCAAGGACAGGGCTGGCGCTTGGCCAGGCCCCAAAAGGCACAGTGGTCCAGCCAGGGCCAGTACACCAGGCACTCAACCCACAGCCTGGTGCTCTCATTTGGCCCCACTGCCCCCAAGGTAAACACGTGGCTGTGCATATTGCACAGGGCCTCAGGGAGGCGGGTTTGTCCACACCTGGCCGGGCATGTGCTGGGCCCTACTCTTTCTCTCCTGAGTGCTGGAGTGGAAATCAGGAATAGGCACAGGCCAGTTGCAGCCTGGTTAGATAATGCTCCTTACCAACAAAGTGACAGACGTGGCGTAAAAAGGGGGAAATGTTGGCTTCCGGGGAATCTTCTATCTGGATATGCAGCAGCTTGTCAGCGTCACCTGTGAAACTAAACAGAAGAAAAGTGTAGGTGACCGGGCAGACTCACGCACAGCCCTCTCAACTCTACAGATGCACGGCACTGGGAATCTTGTGTAAACGAGTGATACTTAATCTAAAAGAATCAACAGTATTTCCACTTACAACGGCCCTGTCTCCATGGAGACATTGACATGTGCTTTGATTTTCAAATCCTTCTGAATTTTAGGGTCGCAGGCTTGCCTGAAATTGCCCAGGTAGATCTTGCCTGGCATTATTTCAACAGGATATGGCTGAAATGCATCCAGTTCCTGAGGTAAGGAAGGAGAAAGACTGCTAAGTATAATATGCACATGATACACAATATAATATAATACTCCCCAGGGAGGGAGTTGTTCTGGTTTTTTGTTTTTGAAGGGGTCTCTTGAAACGTGGCTCAGCAAACAAGCTTAGAAAGATAATCCAGGACAGTGAACGAGACTGAGATCTGGGCATTCGAAGAGACTGGCAAGCAGTAACTTGCATGCGGAGTTGGAGGGCTGGCATGACAGAAGGACAGAGCCACAGCATCACGTGCAGCGCGCTGAATCTGAACACTGACATCCCACCGCTCTCCACGGCTCCTGTTTGCACTTTGCCAGGTGCACAAGGGTTGGGGCCAAGCATCCCACGGCCCAGAACTGCGTAAGCCCAGGGTGTGTCTAGCTGGGGGAGGGGCAGGGGGAGAAGGGATAGCCTTTTCATTATACTTGGAAGCCACCAGAATTTAAACACCTTAAAAAAAAAACCAAACAGCAAAACTACTCACACAGAGCCTATTTGTCATTAGGAAATGAGTTCTGAGGAAGAGAGGCAGGGAGAACAGGACATCACTTAAATGGAAGTGTACGGAATTCCAGGTCCAAATTATAATAAGAAAAATTTTGGTTTCTTTGAAAAACAAAGGAATAAAGAGAAGGATTATTTCTACATTTGCCAAAGCGCATTCTCAGAAACACAAGTCCCTCACAATGCACTGTGAGAAAAGGGCTCAGGGAACCAGGTACTGACGGCAAGCAGCAGCTGTGACAGACCCTCTCAGGCACTCACAATGCACACGAGCAGTTAAAGGCCAAGAAAGTCCCGCTGTAAAGAAACCCACTAACTGCTCACTATGGAAAACACCACGGAGTCCCCTCAAAAAATTAAAAATGGAACTCCCGGATGGCAACTAAACTCTCAGTGGTAGACACAATGTAGTCTATACAGAAGCTGAAATAGAATGATGTACACTTGAAATTTACATAATGTTACTTCAATTAAAACAAAATAGAACTACCATATGATCCAGCCATCCCACTTCTTGCTATTTATCCAAAGGAAATTAAAGGAAATCACTATTTCAAAGAAATATCTGCACCTCCATGTTCACTACAGCATTATTCACAGTTGCCAAGACATAGAAAAAACTAAGCATCCATCAACAGATAAGTGGGTAAAGGAGCTGTGGTGCATATACACAGCGGAATGTTGTTCATTCATGAGAAAGAAGGAGATGCTGCCACTTATGACAACACGGATGGACCCTGAGGGCGTTAGGGTAAGTGAAATAGGTCAGACAGAGAAATACAAATACTGCAAGTTCTCATTTATACGTGGAATCAGAAAAAGCCAAGGGCCGGCCCCATGGCCGAGTGGTTAATCCGCACGCTCTGCTGCAGTGGCCCAGTTTCACCGGTTCGGATCCTGGGGGCAGACCTGGCACAGGTTATTTGAGGCGGTGTCCCACATAACACAGCTAGAAGGACCCACAACTAAAATATACAACTATGTACTGGGGGGATTTGGGGAGAAAAAAAGCAGGAAAAAAAAAAGCCAAACTCATGGAAACAGTAGAATGGTAGTTGCCAGGGGCTGGGGTGGGGGGTGGGAACAGGGTGATGTTGGTCAAAGGATACAAACTTCCAGATATAAGACAAATAAGTTCTGGGGATCTAACGTACAACATGGTGACTGTAGTTAACAATACTGTATTGTATACTTGAAATTTGCTAAAAGTAGATCTTAAATGTTTTTTACCACACACACAAAACAACGGTAATTATGTAAGGTGATAGATATGTTAATTAACCTTATGGTGGTAATCCTTTCAAAATATACACATGTATCAAATCAACATGTTGCACACCTTAAATTTCCACAACGTTATATGTCAATTATATCTCAATAGAACTGGAGGGAAAAAATTACAAAATTTGATTGTTCCAAGGAAAGATTATTAGAGTGCCAATCAAGTGGTTAGAGAAAATTCTCATCAAATAATAAAACTAATCTTATAAACTATTTGGAAAACAGCCAGAAAAGCATGCCAGTCTAAGATTGTTCTCAAAGCGTGCCTCCAGGGAACTAGAAGCTGGGGGAAATGTTCCTAATGATTCCTGGGGTGACCTCTTGCAGCTCGGATGTCTGTAATAAAACAGTGGCTACATATTTATTGTTGGCATGGATTGAAAACTTACTTGCGATATTTGGTAAAGTAAAATATAGGTATAACCTCAAAAAAAAAAATCCACTAACATTGTCTAAACTAATGTTTCCAATACAACCTGTTCAGAGAGCCCTTTTCTCCCATCAGTATTCCATGGAACCCATGTAATTTCAAAGGTCAAACCCAGTTCTAAAACTCCTCTGGCTCCAACCCTGACTCAGAAATAACATCTTAAGTACCTCAGGCCACTCTGCTGTCCACTTCAGTCCTTCCGAGCCTTCTGGCCTCAGCACATCTCCCCTCAGTGAACCCACTACAAGCTCCCATTCTTCCCAAGTTATCAGCTCAAAAGCCTTTACCAAAGAGCAGACACCAAACTGAGCCAATCTTCAAGTTTATGCGAGGGACTAGGACCCTTCCACCTGCAGGCAGGCCTGCTGCTTACAGATGTGGCCCAAAGTGTCCCCCAGAGCTTGCGCTGACCCCACCCAGGCCACTCAGCCTGCTGGAGCCACATGAAATCCTCCTCATTTCAATTGAACAAGCTCACGAAACACCCATCACAAATCTGTCAACTCTATTCCTGATGCTTTCACACCAGCTTCCCTTCCTGTGGTTGTACAGCTGTGGGGAAGAGGGTGTGGCATGGGTAAAAACACACTGAGCTGTAAAGAGCAAGCGCAGGGGAATTCTAGATGACAATTTTGACCACACACTGACAAACCTAAAAGAAATAGGTATCTCTTGGAGCCAGCCCAGTGGCACAGCAGTTAAGTTCACATGTTCCGCTTCAGCACCCTGGGGTTCCTGGTGCAGATCCTGGGTGCAGACCTATACACTGCTCATCAAGCCATGCTGTGGCAGGTGTCCCACATGTAAAGTAGAGGACGATGGGCCCGGAAGTTAGCTCAGGGCCCGTCTTCCTCAGCAAAAAGAGGAGGATTGGTGGCAAATGTTAGCTCAGGGCTAATCTTCCTCAAAAAAAAAAAAAAGAAAAAGAAATAGGTATCTCAAATCAACACGTCCAAACTGAGCCCACTGCCTTCCCCCTACCACTGCCTCCTCCTTCCATGTCCCCATCTCAGTAAGCCACACCACTGGCCACCTGTCGCCCACACCTAAACCACGGCATTATCCTAGACTCCTTCCTCTCCCATGCCCCTCCCCCATGTCTAATCAATGCCACTTCCTAAATATGTCCTGAACCTGTCCTCTCCTCTCATCGCTGCCTCTGGCAGGTCTCCCCAGATCCACTCTGCCTGCACCGATCTGCTCTCCACGCTGCAACCAGAGTTGATCTTTCTCAAATGCAATCTGACCACGCCACCCCTCGACTTAAAGCCGTTCAGCGGCTCGCCATCGTCTGTCAGTGTGGCCTTCACACATGTGTTAGTCACAGCGCCCCTCTGCTCAAGGCGAGGTCTTCTTTAAGGGATGCCACGTATAAAACAGAGGAAATTAGAGGTTGCTCTGTCTAAGGTGGAGAGGCTGTCTTGGAGCCCAAATTCTGTCCCTCCATCTCCCTCATAGGAGGAGTTTCTTGGGGAGCAGTAGGGACGCCCCCACTTTACAGCGTGTCAGACATGTAACGGGAGGGCAGAGGGGCTTCCACTCTTGCTGGCGAATTAGTAACAAAGGTCCCAAAGTGGGGAGAGGCAAATACTAGGCACCCACATTCTAAAGGGGCCACAAACAACCAGGGCAGAACTCAGTCAATCCAGCCACCAGCCACCCTGTTCCTGTATACATGAGAAGACCAGGGCCGAGGGCAAGTCACAGGTGTACACACATCGAAACTGAGCAAACTGTACATTTTCCACATATGCAGTTCACCCCATGTCAACTACCCCTTACTAAATCTTAAAAAAAAAGGGGGGGATGAATTATCAGCAGTGTAATGTTTGCAGAGAAGTACTCGCTCTGCATACTGCAAAGCCAGTAAGGGGGTGCTCCTCCGGGAGCAAGGAAGAGAGGCCGGCAGGATGGGGAGACAGGCTGTACACCCATCCAGATGAAAATCATAGTGCAGTTACCTCCGTGGAAGGAGGGGAGGCAGACATGAATACCCTGGACTTGGGAACATGCACCACCTCAGACATGAATCTTTGCCTTTTAATCCAGGCTGGCAGGAGCAGCCGAGCCAGCAAGGCAAGGAGGGCCTGCAGTGAAGTCGGCCTGGGCCCCTCCCCCACTGTCACACTCCCTTGCGGCTCGGCTCATTCTGGGATGCCGATGAAGGATTGTGGATGCAGTAGGGGGTCCTGGGCTACTAAGGAGGGAAAGGGAATTGGGGGTCCACCTGGCATGAAGCCTCAGCTGGCTCACTCTGAAGGATCCTTGGTAACAGACTGGGCCCCTGAAAACCAGCAGCAAAGGCCACCAGCAGCGCATTGAACCAGGCTGGGCCAGAGTGAGAGCAAGGCACTTCCCCACCACTGACGGCAGCCAGTCACACAAGACAGGCCCAGCTCTGGACCCCCAGCATCAAAGGGGCCAGGCCCAGGAGAAGGGAAGAGGGGAGACATCCCTGAAGCTAACACACATCCCTCGCCACTCCCAGCCCCCCGGCAAATGGAAGGCTGCCCAGCTCTGGGGGATGGGAGGAGATGAGCTCTGGTTCAGATTTGCGGTTGGAATGTTAAACTGCCCTACTTGTAGTGAACTGATTGTTTTTACTCCCTTCTAAAAATTTATTTCAAAAATACACAAAAGTAGAGAGAACAGTAATAATAAACCCCTGGATCTATCACCTCTCTGCAAACATTATCAACTAATGGCCAATTTTGTTTCATCAATGCCCCCATTGCCTTCCCAACCCACCACAGATTATTTTGAAGAAATTCCAGGCATCATATCATTTTACCCATAAATATTTCATTATGTATCTCTAAAAGATAGGGACTCATATTTTTAAAAACTAACCATAATAATGTCATCACAACCTAAAAAGACATATAGCAATAATTCTTACCATCATCAAATATCCAGTTAATATGCACATTTCCCCAATCGTTTTATAATACGACTAGATTGCAATTTTTCATAACTGAAAGTGGCCAGAAAGCATGGAGTCTGCCTAAGGTGTTGCCAAGGGCAAGAATGAGAGGACAGCTGAAGGTAGCTGTTGGAAGAAATGAACACCTGCTGGTCACGTTGCACTGCGTTCAGACTCTTCAACGCACCAGATACCGCACAGCATCCCCCAGGGACTGCTCCCCACCTGCCAGTCATGGCCACGCAATGACTGCCTTCCACGCGCCCCCAGGGTTCTCTTCCTCACACGCTCCTCCTCCTTAGGTTTGGCTCCAGGAAGGAAGTGCCTCTCCTCTGGGCTCCAGACCCCTGGTGTCCCCCCTGCCTCCCCTATTAGACAAGAACTTCTCATAAGCAAGGACTGCTACCTCACCCTTTTGTTGTATCCTCTGGACCCAGCCAGGGTTGTGGGACCAGACAGCTAAGAATGGAGAGGCAGCCTTGAATCATGAGGCCCCTGCCTGTCTGACTTTGCCTACGGCACACCATCCAGAACTCTGCCTGGGATCCCTGCCCTCTAAGTGGGCCCCATCTCTTAAACACCACATTGGCTTTTGCCTGACTCTGGCGATGATAAATTCATCATACTGGACTAGACTTCCTGGCTGCCCCAAGTTCATTTCCCAAGCGCAGGCTTTGACATCTCTTCCATCTTTTCCCTGCTGTCTGCCTCATTCTCCTCTTTCTCCTACCCTGGCCCCACTGCTTGGCCCCAGGGGAAGCCCACCCTCCCCTCTGAGCCTGTCTGCGCTCGGCACCCTGCCTTACCTGCGGCATCCAGATGATCTTCTGCGTCCGGAAGAAGTGGTACATGGCCGAGAAACGCTCATAGCCCCCCTTCAGGATACGGACAGGGTGGCGGGTGAGGTGGGTCAGGGCTTTGCCACACTTAATGGCGGCTCCGAGAACCGGTCCTAAGAGTGGAGATCAAAGAGATGAATGTCCTCTGAGTGCTCACCATTTGTCTATGGCTCCAGCGGACGGCCACTTTATTCTGAAAAGCAATTATCGAGGAAGCTGAAGCAAATATAGAGACGAGTGTTACAATTAAAACTTAAAAAGCAACTTACCACCAAGTAAGCTATCTTTTTTTTCTGTAAACTCTGAGATTATATATATATATCTCCACATTGTTGTAAGGAAGGACGATTTAACATAAGGGAAATATATATTGTATGTATATATCATATATTACATTTATATTGTATATTGTGTATTATACAGCACATGTATATCATATATCATATACCACACAATTCACCTATTTAAAGTGCATAAACTAAATGGTTTCTGGTATATTTACAGAGTTGTGTAACCATTACCACAATCAATTTTAGAACATTTTCACCACCCCACAAAGAAACCCTGTACCGGTTAGAGGGTTTCACTCCTCATTTCCCTCCAAACACCCAGCTCTAGGCAATCACTAACCTAACTCTTCTCTATGGGTTTACCTAGTCTGGACATTTCATATAAATGGAATCATACAATATGTGGCATTTTGTATCTGGCTTTTTCCTCTACATAATATTTTCAAAGTTCATGCATATTGTAGCATATATCAGTATTCCATACTTTTTTACGGCTGAATAACACTCCATGGTGTGGATCAACACCTTTTATTTATCCATTCATCTGTTGACGGACATTTGGGTTGTTTCCACGTTTTGGCTGTTGGAAATAATGCTGCTATGAACATTCGTGTGCAAGGTTTTATGTGCACATGTCTTCCTTTCTCTTGGGTACATACCTAGGAGTGGAATTTCTGGACCATATGGTACCTCTACGTTCAACTTTTTGAGGAAACGCCAAACTGTTTCCCACAGCAATTGCACCATTTTACGTTCCGACCAGCAGTACATGAGGGTTGCAATTTCTCCACAGCCTCATCGACACTTGATATTATCTGCCTTTTTGATTATGGCCATTCTAGCAGGTGTGAAGTGGTATCTCATCATGGTCTTGACATCAATTTAATCTCTTTTTTTTGAGGAAGATTAGCCCTGAGCTGACTTCTGCCAATCCTCCTCTTTTTGCTGAGGAAGACTGGCCCTGAGCTAACATCTGTGCCCACCTTCCTCTACTTTATATGTGGGACGCCTGCCACAGCATGGCTGGCCAAGTGGTGCCATGTCCGCACTGGGATCTGAACCGGTGAACCCCAGGCCACCAAAGCGGAACGTGCCAAATTCACCGCTGTGCCGCCGGGCTAGTCCTGACATCAATTTAATCTTAAACGCCTTCACTGATCTGCAGAATCACTATTAGATTGTATGCACCCTAGATATATATGACAGGAAGGATGCAAAATTAAGGCCAAGCCGAACTACCCTGAGGCCAGGATCCGGCTCATAAGAGAAACACTGTGCAGCAGACTCTGGAGAGCCAGCGGCAAGGAGGAAGGGAAGGGCACGGACCCTGACTTCTATATTGAACCTTTGTCCAGGGAGAGAAGGCCAATTTCAGCAGGGGCTGCTAAGGACATAAATGGCCTGAGACGCTTCAGAGAGGCTATATTTGCAAGAAGAGCCAGGAGTCAACAGCCAGGCCAGGAGGCAACCTGTAACTGGCAAGACAGGAGCCAAAGCCCACCCCAGAGGGCCAGGCTTGGCAGCCAGGGAGGCTTGAGCAAGAGCCTGAACAATGACCGGTGGGGTCAGAGGACCCAGGTGAGTTGGGCAGAGAGTCCCAGGCCACAATGCTGCTGCCTTTAAGCCAGACAGCTGCTCCCCGCCAAAGTCACACGACCCGCTGGAGGCTTATTCACACTCAGGAGTGATGGGGTCAGGGCTGGAGGAAGGTCAGTTTCCAGGGGACAATTAGAGACTCTGGCGGAAAGCCATGAGAACATCCCAGGGCCCAGGCTATCCAGCCAAGGAGGTAACGGGGTTAAGATTTTTTGAAACATTAAATCTGTTCATTTTTATTCCCACTAATCCTGAGTTCTCCATTGACACGAGGTTTCCCACACTTGGAACGGGGCGCCCACTGCTTCAGGGGGCGGGGGGCATCACCAGGAACAAGGGGGTCGCCACTCAGCTGGGTATGTTAAATTATTTTCGGTCCTTACAGACAATTGTCTTGAAAGTGAAGCCTTGCTGAGAGGAGGAAAAGAATCCCCGAATTCCCAAGCTTCCCTTCACAGTTGGTGTGAATGCCCGGCCCAGGGATCTCCCCCCACACATATCAAGAGCCCAGCTCAGGGCTCCATACCCCAAATGTCACAAGGAAGGACAATTTCTCATCAGGGAAATGTCTCTCATACAAGAAGGGGTTGCCCTCTGCTGCTCAAAGGAGCTTGGAGACAGAGTCCGAGGGCCAAGACAAGGGAAGACACTTGTTGGGTTCTTAAGAAGAGACCCAGCTGAGGCGGTAGAAACACATGGGCTGGAGGGGGAGCTGAAAATAGCTTGTGCCCCATTCTCCGCCAGGATTCTGAGGCACCCCCCAGCGGAGGTGTGGAGTGGTTAACCTAACGCTGGAGACCAACGTAATGCCGGAAGGAAGACACAGCAGGCCCAGGGGTCAGCAGCACCTGTGGACGGTCAGGTAGGGGGGTAGGAGGGGATGGGGCTGAGGCCCCAGGAGCCATCGCCACGCACTGCCAGCTGGAGGGAACCGCTCACGTCTTACACTAGCTGTGGACATTTTGGCCACGACACAGCAAGGACAGAGGCCGCAGAGACTGAGCTGCACCTCACCCAGAGGCCCACAGGAAAGGACGACACAGAGCCGGACACCTGAATCTGGGATGCGATGAAGGCTCCCTCCACACTCACATTTCCCTGGGGGTCTGGGAGGCAGGTGCTTAACAGCGGAAGGGAGAAGGGAGTGGAGAGAAAAACCTTGAAGTGGTCTTTTACCCAAAAGACTCTGCATTTACCTGAAAGATGCCATTTTAAAGGAGAAAAGTTGCCTCGAGTGGGCTAGGTGTACACGTGTGTGGTTTCCTGTTTTGTTGTGTTGTTGTTTTGTGGTTGTGGCTTCCTACCGAGAATGGAGACTCCACAGCACAGTGAGGTCACTTATATAACACAGAGGGGGTTATCTTTATTGACCACCATTTCCTAGGGTTTCAGCGTCCCGCTATCATCCTAGAATTGCAAACCCGAGCCCAATAGGATGAGTTTAGGGAAGAGGGGACAATTTCCTGGCTAAGGACCTCCTGGGAATATTGGTTTTATTAAAGGTGGAAGCCTAGCGCCACCCAGTGACCACTGGTATGAATGCCCTGGCCCATGGAACCACCCACACATATGACTGAGCCACAGCAGCAGAGCCCCATGCCAATGGCACATGGTGTCAGTCCAAAACCAGAGGCTGGATGGAGAATGCAACAGAGTCTCAGTGAAGCCGATTAGAACTGACCACATTTTTTTTTTCCTCAGGAAGATTCGCCCTGAGCTACCATCCATACCAATCTTCTCTATTTTTCAGTATGTGGGCCGCCAGTGCAGAATGGCTACAAACCAAGCGGTGTAGATCTGTGCCCAGGAACTGAACCCAGGCCATCAAAGCGGAGCATGCTGAACTTAACCACTAGGCCACTGGGGCTGGCCCAAGAACTGACCACATTTTGCTCCAACTAGGAGCTGGCATGACTGCATTGTTCCCCACCATCACTATCCAGGCCTTCGGAGACTGACAGAGCCAAACTGCCCAGGTTTGAATCCTGGCCCCACCACTTGCTAGGTGTAGTGGTTTAAAAAAAAGCCCACAAATTCTTTCAAATGCCTCCCTTTAAAAGGTCGAGCCTAATTCCCGTCTCCCTGAGGGTAAGCTATACTCAGTGACCTCCTTCTAATGAACAGAACGTGGCAGAGGTGACTGTGTCTAAGGCCCAAGACTAGATCATAAAAAGCAGGCGGCTTCCCCTCGTTCTCCCTCTCTCAGATCGTTCACTCCAGGAGAAACTAGCTGCCATGCTGTGAGGACGGCAGCCTCGCTGATGTCTTGACTACAAACTCAGGACAGATCCTGTACCAGAATCTTCCAGTCAAGCTACTCCTGAATTCTGGACCCACAGAAACTATGAGATAATTAATGTTTGCCGTATTAAGCTACATTGTGGGGGTAATTTGTTTGGGGGTAGTTTGTTACGCAGCAATAGACAACTCATTCACTAGGTATGGGACTTCAGATGAGTCACTTTTCTGGGCCCCAATTTCCCCATCTATAAATTTGGGCTGTTACCTATCAGGAGACAATTCTCCACGGTCTCTCACATTTCCACATATCCTTTGAGCAAAGGCACTGGTTTTTCAAGGACATTTACATAACAAATAGCCTTGGAAGACAGAGACAGTTTCTCCCTCCAGAGCCAAGGGCCACCAGGCTTTCTGCCCATTATGAAAGATTCAGGTCCCCTAAGCTCAGAATTCTCCTATAATACAACACACTGCGTGGATAGATATTACTTGGCCCTCTTCATGTCACCCTGTGAGAACTGGGATGTGGGGCATCAGGGCAGGAAAATGATGACACTCTGTCTAGTTTTACGGTTCTGAGTAATAAAGTCCTTTGTCTCTGACCCAGGAGCCTCATGTCTTCTGCCAGAATCTATGAAACTGACTGACTCACTTGTCGTCTTGCGAGGACGAACAGCCTCAGATCCTTCCCGGTTCTCGACATCACCGTCCTCACAGGCTGTTCTGCAGATGGCATGAGGTGACCCGGGCAGAGCACTCAGCATGGCTGCTGGCACGTGGCAAAGTGTCTGACCGCCGTTAACTATTATTCTTGCTGCTGTTGTAAGGACTCACCTTCTCTGCTCTCATCAGAGACGTCATCATCACTGCTGTGTCTTAAGATCTCCAGGAAGCTGGTGTTGTTATCGTACACCACACAGTATTTCACGCACTCCAGATCCACAGACTCCGGGATAAGATATTCATTTGCCTTCTAAAGAAACCACGAGAGAATCCTGTTGACAGGTCAGTTCAGCTGAGCAAATATTCCCTGAGCACCAGCACCAGGAGGACTGTGCCTCTTCCCCTGACTACACACACAGGCACAGAAGCACCGAGAGTGCACTGGAGAGTCTGCTAAATTCCAAGGATCTTTCACACCCACATCCCTGCTGCAAAAAGCTGACCCTGGGTCACTGGACCAGAGGTAAGTGCCTGGCCAAAGAACGGCTGGTCCACGGACCGGCACGCAGCCTGTTAGGTGCCCCAGCACAAGCGCTATCAGAGAGGCCGTGGCGAACCGAACTAACAGTATCCTCACTCCGGGGGAGAGTGGTTGGCAGTGGGGGCCAGATCCAAAATCCCCCATAAAGAGGGCAATAAGTAGAAGGCTTGAATAAGCAGAAGTCACGAGGCCAAATGGAAGCTCAAATGGAAGCCCTGTGAGAGCGGGAACTTTTGTCCGTTTTCAGTCACCTACGTGTCCCGAGCTTCCGGAACACTGCCTGGCAAATGATAGGCCTTAAACATAGTTAAAGGAAGGACTGGGCAAACAGGAGCCATGTGGTCTCGAGGAGTAGCTGGGGAGTGGCTGAGTTGCCATGATGGCAGACCGCAGCGGCAGGACACAGATGCCTTCTGCCAAGGAGGTGATGAGCTCTCGCAGCATCCTAACTGCCCAGCATCCCAAAGAGTGTCCCAGAGCTCAGGGAGGCCTGGCTGGGCAGTGGCTAAGAGGTTAGTCTTCACTTGTTCGCAAGGCTTCCTGAAAGCCCCCACTATTCAGGGGCACCTGAGCCTGACTGTGTCCCTGGCGCCCTGGTCTGGCTGACATGGAGGCTCTGACAGAGGACAGGTGTACACCTACTCTACCACAGGCAGTGAGGGAACACCCATGGAGGCACAGACCAGGGAAGTTCTCTGGGACTCAACGGGGAGAAACCATACTAGTCTAAAGGAATTAGGAGACAGATGGCGCTCTGAGCAGGACTTAGATGGGGGAGGGTGAGGATGAGGAAAGGGGCATTCTGGGTGTGAAAACCATGAGCAAAGGAGAAGGTGGGAATAGCTCACAGAGGCTGGAGCTGGTGGGGGAGCAGGAGAGATGTAGCTGGACATTCATCCGTCTGTTTGATAAACATTCATTGAGGACCCACTTTGCGCTTACACTGCGCTAGGTTCTGCAATACAGAGACTCAAAAAAGAAAAGGGAAATGGCTAAGTTGGCCTGGAGGACTCAGAGAGGCCGCACGGAGAGGCCACCCAAGGCAGGAAGCATTTGAGATGAGACTGCAGGGGCGAGTGGGAACTTACCACATGGACAAGAGCTGGGGGAGTGTTCGAGGCAGAAGGAACAGCTTCCAATCATTCATTTTCATCAACAAATAGGTACTGAGCACCTACCAGATGCCAGGGACCAGATTGAGCATCTGGGCTACAATGACGCACTGCCAGGGTTAGCAAGGACCTGAGAGAGAAGAGACCCTGGGGGTGGGGGTTGGGGGGCGGGGAATGACTGCATGCAGGGCTCTGTCTTCTTAAAAAGCTGGAATGGACAAAGGAAGTTGGGAAGGGGGGAGCAGAGAGCTTCCATCTTTGGGTTATAATAACTATCTCTATGGTTTATTGTCTGTTCCCTGAGTGGAACAGAAGCTCATGAGGGCAGAGGCAATGAATGAAGGGCATCTTGTATTCTGTTTTATCCCCCAGGATCTGGAACAGTGCCCGGGATGTCAAGGACTTAAATCAATATTTGCTTAATGAAGCTGTTGACCATGATGAGGGTGGGGTGGGGTGTGGACACTTTAGGGAGTGTATGAGAAGTGGGGAGACCCTCGTAATGGATGCATAGGGGCGGTCCTGCCTCTGCTGCCCACAGTGTCCAACAGCAGGTGCCGCCTCCTGGATCTTGGAGACAATCTCCCATCCTCCCCACCTCCTGTGGGGTAGCCAGGCTGCCCCAGATTCTGACTCTGCTGGTATACCTTCTTCACTCGACGGGCCGTAATCACATGGCTTTCATCATACTCCCGTTTGGAACGCACATCTGAAAGGGAAAAGTATTGAACTAATAACTGTATTTGCAAAGGAGAACATGACCAAATTACTTAGAGTACTCACATCATCATCAAGATATATTTGTTTGGCAGTTAGGTGACAGGGACCGACAGTATAAATTCAAGGTGTGTAGTTTCACTGCTCTGGGCTACCCACATGACTCCCTTGCCCCATCATACCACACACCTCCTTCAAGGGTGTTGAGACTTTGAGTCTTTGATTTAGGGAGAATTTTCTCTGAGGTCCAATAAAGCAGGGAGGGAAGAAATCAAAGCCAGACTGAGCTCATCCTAAATGCCCCTTGTAATTTTAGACCCAAACACAGACTGTAGAAGCTAGAAGCTGAGGTTCTAACGCCCCTGCTAGGACAGAAGATGTGGTATTGTTGCTCCTCAAAGATGGGAGGAACGTGGAGCAGGAATTGAGGCTTACACATAAATCCTGAAAAGGACCGTTATCCCAAATATCCAAACAATTTTCAAAATTCAACAATAGGAAAATAAACAACCCAATTAAAAAACGGGCAAAAGATATGAACAGACACCTTACCAAAGAAGATATACAGATGGCATATATGCATATGAAAAGAAGTTCGACATCACATGTCACTAGGGAATTGCAAATTAAAACAACAATGAAATCTCTCTCTCATCTATAAGAATGTTGAAAATCCAAAATACTGACAACACCAAATGCTGGTGAGATGGGGAACAACAGGACTCTCATTCATTGCTGATGGAAACGCAAAATGGTACAGCCACTTTGGAAGACAGTGTGGCTATTTCTAACAAAACTATACATACTCTTCTTAGCAATCGTGCTCCTTGGTATTCACCTAAATGGGTTGAAAATTTATGAACACACAAAAACCTACACACAGATGTTTATAGCAGTTTTATAATTGTCAAAACTTGGGAGCAACCAAGTTGTCCTTCAGTAGGTGAATGGATAAACAAACTGTGGTACACCCAGACAACAGAATATTGCTCAGTGCTAAAAACAAAAGAGCTATCAAGCCATGCAAAGACACAGAGGAAAGTTAAATGCATGCTACTAAGTGAGAGAAGCCAATCTGAAAAGGCTACATACTGTTTGCCTCCAACTCTGTGACATTCCTGGAAAGGCAAAACTGTGGAGACAGTGAAAAGACCAGTGTTACCATGGGTTGGGGGAAGGAGGGAGGAATAGATGGAGCAGAAAGGGTTTTTAGGGAAGTGAAACTACTCTGTATGATACTATAGTGATGGATACATGTCATTAAACATCTGTCAAAACCCACAGCATGTGAAATACTGAGTGATGTAAACTGTGGGCTTTGAGTGATAATGACGTGTCAGTGCACGCTCATTAACTTTAACAAAGATACCACTCTGGGGTGGAGGGAGGCCGGCCCCACGGCGTAGCAGTTAAGCTCACATGCTCCACTTCGCCAGTTTGTATCCCGGGTTTGGATCCCTAGCGTGGACATACACACCACCTATTAGGCCATGCTGTGGCAGGTGTCCCACATATAAAGTAGAGGAAGATGGGCACGGGTGTTAGCTCATGGCCAGTCTTCCTCCTCAAACATAAATAAATAGATAAATATATGCCCCACTCCAATTTGGGATGAGAATCGTGGGAGGGCCTGTGCTTGCATGGGGGAAGGGAGTATATGGGAGCTCTCTGTACTTGCTGCTCAATTTTGCTGTGAACCTAAAACTGCTCTAAAAAATAAAGTCCCTTTTAAAAAAAGATATAAGAAAGCACTAACCACAAAAGAAAATATGGATAAATCTAATCCTACTAAATTAAGAATCTTTGGGGGCTGGCTCTGTGGCTGAGCGGTTAAGTTCTCGTGCTCTGTTTCAGTGGCCCAGGGTTTTGCTGGTTCGGATCCTTGGCGCAGACACGGCACCGCTCATCAAGCCCTGCTGAGGCAGCGTCCTACATGCCACAACTAGAAGGACCCACAGAAAAGAAAGTAAAAGGGCAAGCCATAGAGTGAGAGAAAATATCTGTAACACAAATAACTAACAGAAGACCTATATCCAGAATACATAAAGAACTCATACATCAATGGGGGAAAAGAACTTCAGATATCTGAAGATATCTTTATTTTAAGATACCTTAAGAAACAGCTCAAGGCCGCACCCCCAGGATGACCACAGCCCCCCGTAAAGTGCCTGCCTGAGAAAACTCAAGGGGGCCACTGTCTGTTCCAGCAACATCTGAAGATGGGGCCCATCTCCCAGCCTCTGCAGAGGGGAGGAGCCTAACTTTGATGAGCGCCACTTAGCAAGCCCAGACGGGTTTCACATGGACCAACCCCCTCCCCTGTTTATAATTTTTCCCTTCCCTGACTCTACTGAGCCCCTGCTCACCCCCTCCCGCCTCCCTCACTCTCCCTTTAAAATGCCCAGTCTTCTCTGTGCAAATTGAACTGAAGTTCAGTTCACACTGGACTCTTTTCCCTATTGCAATAGAATATTACCGATTAAAATCTGTCCTCACCACTTTACTAGTGTCTGGCTTCGTTTCTCTTTGACACTATTTAGCAACAAGAATGAACAAACTACAGCATAGCCACATCCAACAACATGAGTGAATCTTAATAATATAATCTTGAGCAAAAGAAGTCTGATACATAGTCTGCATGGCTCGAAAACAAGTGAAACTAAGCACAGTATATTGTAAGCTCATTTCATTTATTTATATAGATGCGAAAATCTGAAATGAATAGTAAGCCAAATCTAACAGTGTGCAGAAAAAATAATGTATCATGATCTAGTAGGAGCTATGTAATACTAGAAAACCACATATTAAAGGAGGAAAATTGTATGTTCATTTCCATAGATGCAGAAAAATTTCAATTCATATCATGGAAAAAAGTTCTTAGTAAATTAGGAATATAAGGCAACTTCCTTAACTCAATGAGTACCTTACTAAATATCTACAGCAAACATCATACTGACTGGTAAAGCGAGAAACAAGTCCAATGCTCACTATGCTCCTCTTTAGCATGGTATTGGAGGGCAAAGGGTACAGCAATGTAGTAAGATAAGAAAAAATTAAGTGTATAAGAATTGAAACAGAAGACATAAAACTGTCATCATAAACAGAGAAATATGACGGTCTATGTAGAAAATCCAAGAGAATTACAAACAATTAGAATTAGTCAGAGAGCACACCAAGGTTGCTAGATACAATATCAACATAAAAAAAATCAATAATGGTCTGTAAAAGTGGAGAAAAAAAATGTTTCAAAAGAGGAAAAGCCTTGTAATAATGCTTCAATATTCCAAGTGTCCACCAGAACCCACAAAAGAGCAACAGAGACTAAAGAGATGGATGTGCACACAGGAAATAATTCAGAAAAGTCCTGTAAAACCACGAAAAGCTACAGGAAGACAGAAGCTGAAGCCCATCCCTTAAATGATCCTGTGAATGAGGAAGAACCTGGGACAAAAAAGAAAAAGAAGGTAGAAAATAAATCCAAAAATGGTCAGGGAGTGCCAAAGGGGGACAGCAAAGAAGAAGAGAATAAGAAGCAAAATACTTACATGAAAAAAAGTACAAAGATGAAAAGTAAATCAAATAAAAGCAGCAAGCCAGCTCGGAAGGGGCCTGCTCAGGTAGGTGGGGCCTGCTCAGGTGGGTGGGGCCTGCTCTGGTGGGAGGGGCCTGCTCAGGTGGGAGGGGCCTGCTCAGGTAGGTGGGGCCTGCTCAGGTGGGAGGGGCCTGCTCAGGTAGGTGGGGCCTGCTCAGGTGGGAGGGGCCTGCTCTGGTGGGAGGGGCCTGCTCAAGTGGGAGGGGCCTGCTCAGGAGGGAGGGGCCTGCTCAGGTGGGAGGGGCCTGCTCAGGTGGGTGGGGCCTGCTCAGGTGTGATAGGCCTCCTCAGGTGGAACCGCCTCCTCTCATGGAGCTTCCTCTTCACATGGAGGCACAAGGTTTCCTTCCCAAAAAGATAATACAGTCATGTGTTGCTTAACGACGGGTACATTCTGAGAAATGCATCATTAGGTGATTTTGTCATTGTGTGAACATCACAGGATGTCCTTACACAAACATACATGGTATAGCCTAGTAAACACCTAGGCTGTGTGGCACTAATCTTACGGGTCCAGGGTCCTACATGCAGTCCATCATGGATCAAAACACCATCACGCGGCACATGACGATAAAAAGGAAAAGTCCAACGTGCGGAGTGAATCTAAAGGAAAGTGCAGCAGCTAAAGGAGAGTGCAGGTGCCCAGGAGCTCTTACCACATCACCACCACCGTCCAAGGAAAGCTGAAAAGAAGAGGAGTCAAAAGACCAAGAGCTAATCTCCAAAGGGAAGGAAACAGAGAGGCCCCTCTTCAGGAAGCAGAAGCAGAAGAGGCAGAGAAGAGTCAGCCGGTCTTGATGCTAGTATGGAGGAACCCACAGTATTTCATCCTCTGCATAAAACCTGAACATGCCAGAGGGTGAAAGCTCAGGTGGCAAACGTCAGGCTGACGCTATGCTTTGTGAAAAGGAAAGGGACAGCGATCCAAACACAGAAAAGCATCTCCAGGTAACGACTGGGCAGCGCGAGAACCAGTTTCCTTCCTCCACCAATAGAAAAGGGTGGAGCAGGGCCCCACCTGCCCTGGCATCACCTCCTGCTACCATTGCAGTACATCAGTCTCAGGAAACCAGTGAAGACGAAGGCATCCATGGTCATGGCGGAAGTGACCTAAGGGACAATATGTCAGGGGGTAGCGACGATTCTGGCCTGAATGGGGCCCGGCTGGTTGCACAAGAAACTAGTAGAAAAAATGCAAGGAGGTCTTGGCAGTCAAGTGGCTGAGGGAGATTTTGTGTCTATCTTCTGTGCTCGTTCTTTTAGAAAGGAACGACATTACAGCAAACACTTCAATCAATCGCCATTCGGTTAACATACACTTCCTTGAAAAGGCAGCTAAAGGGCAGGAATAATTAACCTTTGGCCAAGGCTTCAGTTCTTAGTCTGTAAGATCTCTTACCTTTTATATTCATCCACACTGAAAGACAACCTTTTCTTTTTAAGACTGCTTTAACGTCCAATGTTGATTTTTGAGTTGTATTCTTTTCCTTAGGACATTATGTATACCTATTGATTGTTGTACGAATTTTAGCAAATCCAAGGGAGTTAGTATACTAAACCGGTAGACACCCACTCTGTTAGCCGAAGTGTTTAATGGAAACGAGAAGGCCAAGATGGTATAACAGCCTTCTATCGCTTTGTCCAGCTACAACTCGCTAGTTTGTTCCCTTTGTCTCTCTTCCTGCTTCACTTTAGTTTACTCTTAGTTTTGTTACTGAACCAGGTTCGTTTTTACCCGCCGCCCAGAAAGCCAAACACCGAGATGACGAGATTGCAGCCGAGAGAGAGTTTACTCACAAGGTAGCCATGGGAGGAAGCGAGAGCATGAGCCTCAAATTCACTTCCCTGAAAATAGGGACTCAGGGATATTTGTGGGATGGGGGCAAGGTGGTCTGAAATGTGGAGAGAGGTGATTGGAGGTGAGGAGAGGTGAGGTAATGATGAGCTGCACAAGCGTAGTCAGACTCCACGCCTCTTCATAGGACCCATGTTCACAAAATGGCGGCGTGAGCATGATGTGAGGGTGGAGTTTAAGCCTCTTGATGTCAAAAGGTCACCTATTGGACATCTGCACGGGCCCAGTTGATGAGCTGGTGGTCTCAACTGGCCTGAAGTGGGCAAGGAGTTCTAATTCCTGAGAAACAGCTCACACACCCATTCCCATGGGGACCCAGACTCCAGGAAGATGTTATCTATAGAACCTAGGCGGAGTCAGATAGCATAGTGCCAAACAGCACAGTTAATAATGGGCGGGTGAGCACCTAAAAGCTATAATCAGTAATCGCAAAAAAGAAAAAAAGAACTTTAGTTCCTAGCTACTCAATCATCCATAGCTCACTCTCTGCCGGTTTCAGTTTCTTGTTTAGCTGTATAAAAACTGGCAAACTTTATTAATTACTTGAAGAATTTGCCTGCTTTATATATATGCTAGCACTTTAAAAATTGTTTTGAGAGATGATAGACATTTAAATTGAAGAAAAATTCTCCCAACAATCGACATTCTATCAGTCAAGGTATTTACTTCCTGAGTTTTGATCAAT